GGTTTGTTCTCTGTTAGTTTCCACTAAAGGAAACAAGGTTCCTTGGTGACAATGTAGTCTATGTTTGAGAAAGAATAATTCAGGCTGCGTTTTGAGTTATCTTATTATCGCAAAGAAAGAATGTTTTCAGCAGTTCCCGGTGGGGCTGGAGTTAAAAAAGATGAAGAGGGTAACCTGACAAGAGGGCTGCTAGGGGCAAGTAGAAACAATCTAAGTAACAACTAGGAAAGATTTTTACACCCACCATAAATGCTAAGATAAAAAAGACTAACAACCACAAGCATTGGAGAAAAGGTGGAGTAACTGGAAGTTTCATACGTTGTCGCAGGCATGTAAAATGGTACAATCCTTTGGAAAAAAGGTCTGATAGTTGCTTATTAAACTAAACATACAACTACTCTAGACTCCAACAATTCCATCCTTAGATGTCTACCGAAGAGGAATAAAGACATATGTTTACCAAAAGTGTATAAAGACATTCAGAACACTTTATTCATAATAGCAAAAAAAAAAAAAAGAAAGAAAGAAAGAAAAGAAAAAGAAAAAGCAGAAACAGCCCAGGTGTCCATCAACAGGAACATGGAAAAAAACAAACTGACACATTCATACAAAAGACTACTCAGCAATAAAAAGGAATAAATCACTGGTACATGCGACATGAATTAACCTCAAAAACGTGCTGACTGAAGGAAGCATTATGTTTTGTATGATTTCATTCATATAAAGTTTTAGAATGGGCAGATTTAATCTGTGAGGCAAAATAATCAGAACAGTAGATAACACTTGATAGGTGGGGTGGGGATTGACTGGGAAGGAACATGAGGAAACCTTCTGGAATGATTGCTGTGTTCTAAATTTCGAAAAGGGTTTGGGTTACACAGATGAATGCATTTGCAAAAACTTAGCAAGTTTATATTTAACAATTGTGCATTTCATTGCATGTTTAAGTGTACATCAAAAATTTTAAAAACTAAACATTATACATGTTGAAGTATTAGGGGGAAGTATACTGATGTCTGCATCATAAAAGTAACATGGAGAGATGAGTAATAAAACACATAGAGTAAAATTTAGAATCCATGAAGTTGGTAATTGGGTATCTACTATAAAATTCCATCAACTTTGCTGTACGTTTGAAAATTTTCATAATAAAATGGAGAAAAGCCCTCCATTGGTCTTATCTTTCTAATATACATCCTATGCCTCTAATAAATTATTCCTTCTGTAAGATAGAGGTAGGTTCTATAGCAACATAGGGACCAGAAATTAGCCCCAGAATTTTCCCTGAAATTCTAAAAGTCAGATGACATACGTAAGCCAGGTAAGAAAGGTACGAAACTATACAAATTATTGAGAAGGAAGCCAAGTTACCTTCAGAGTAATTACTAATACTGGTGTTTATTATCACCCACAAACAGGCTGAGAGTACCATGTTTTGCGTCTTTAAAAAAAAAAATTAATTTTAACCACTGAATAGAAGAATCGTCTTTTATATCAGGTTATATATGTGAATAGGCCAGTTGTATCTCATTCAACTTGGTCCAAAATTTGGATATCCAATCACCATTTAAAAAACACTTATTAAGCATTTTCCTATACCCAGTATTATCATTAACAATATGCTATATATGACATAAAATAACATCATTTGCTTTTTGAGAGCTTTGGAGGAAATCTGGCATAAGAACGTGTCAAACAAATCTGGATGTTTCCTATCTCTGCACTTATTAGTTGTAGGACCTTGAGCAAATTAACTTCTATAAGCCTCACTTTCCTCATTTACAAAACGTGGAAGGATAATGGTAGTTCGTACTTCATATGATTATTCCGAATGTTGAGTGAGCCAACTCATTTCACATGTATCACAGTGATTGGTAGATAGAAAGCACTCAATGAATGTAAGTCATCATTTTTTTAAAAAGTACATACAAGAAACAAAACATTCAATTGGTATAAGAATGTGGAGAACCTTAATTTGTTTAAATAGAACATCATCTCCTCACTAGGTAGTTCAAAACCCTCAAAGTTTGAGAAATGTTTTAGAAAGTCAAAGAATGATAACCTTGCTGCACTGATACTGTGAGAATACAGAATCACAAGTAGTGAAATGCAGAAATACACTTCTTATCAGTATATTATCTAGACCTGCTGAAAGAAGCTATACTTCTTCACTCAGTTTTGCATTAAACACTCAGAAATGTTACCCATAATGTTTTGTGCCTATCACTAGTGCTTGTTAAGTAGGTGGGCACACAGTTAAAGACTCTAAAGTAGTCAGGCAGACAGTGGGGGTTAAGGTGGGGCCAGGAGGATATTAACTGCCGTTCGCCCCCCACCCCAAGAGAATGGCAGTGTCATGCCTGGCAGGTGGCAGAATGAACAGCTGCAAAGCCCCTGTGGGAAGCTGGGAAGCCCATACTTGTTCAAGAAGCATTCTGTACTGTCTCCTGCCATGTATGTTATCCATAAATTCCCCACATTCTTTACTATCTTCTACCTTTTGGCATCTTTTTATCAACCATCCTGTTAACAATCATGTAGCCCACATTCCCACATAATGTTACAATTGGCTGAAACTATGTAGGAGCAGCATGTCCTTTTAGGTGGGGCATAACCCCTCTGTTTATTATACTGCCCACAACTCCCTATGGTCTTTCACACTAAGGTACATTTCCTGCCTGGCTCATTCACAGCGGATCCTGGTCTAGTTTGATTTTGGCAGTGGTGAAACATTAGGAGTTTCTCAGCGGTCAGTTCATACCTAGACTAGTATTCTATCCACCCACTCACACCTGCCCCCAGCCTAAAAAGCAGCTAAGGGATCTCAGCTAGTTCTCAGATGCCTGAGTAGATGAGTTCCTATCATTTCATCAGAAGAAGATAATGACTTAAAGAAGAAGGGGAAACTCAATAAACTTCTTTTTTAAAAAAAGCAGATAGGACTGGAGTGCCTGGGTGGCTCAGTCGGTTAAGCGGCTGTCTTCAGCTCAGGTCACAATCCCAGGGTCCTGGGATCGAGTCCCATGTCAGGCTCCCTGCTCAGCAGGGAGTCTGCTTCTCCCTCTCCCCCTGCCTCTCCCCCACTGCTCATGCTCTCTCTCTCTCATGCTCTCTCTCTCTCAAATAAATAAAATCTTAAAAAATAAATAAATAAAAAATAAATAAAAAACCAGATATGACTGAAGTCTTAGGACATCCTTTTCTGAAACATTCTTGGAGAGTAGGCTTTCTGCTTTTATATAACACTGCATCTGCTTTGAAACCCATACAACACTGGTTTCTTTCTTTTCTCTGATGTTTTTAATCTATTACCTCTTACCAGACTTGTTTTTCAAGATGTAAATTCACTGGGTATGACTGTTTAGGTACAGTTAGTGTCTAATTGGGAGTTTGGGGCAATATCCAGCACATCATAACTATTCAACTGCTGTAACCACAATCATGTCTCTAAAATGCTCTGAAAGCTTCAAATATTATATTAAATAGTACTATTAAAGATGCATAAAATAAGAATGGATTTTTAAATTAGTAGATATAAAAGTATTAGAATTTAATAAATGAAGATAGTTTTATTATCTTGCTCATGAGGTAATAATCACTTCTACTTTCCCAAATGGTTATTACACTTAGGATCAGATTCAGAAAGATTTATCTTTAGCCCACATATAAATATTTTCCCTTATTCTAAAACGTTAGCGATCTTCTTTTCTTTTGTGCAAAAGATAGTTTTAGGTTTGCTCCCTTTCTTTCTTTTAAATTTATGGACTCTGCTACTAATTTCTTGATGTCTGGAATAGGTTAACACCTTTTCTCCTCAGCTTCTGTTGATCATAAGCTTGAAATTTATCTGCAAACTTCAAGGGCAGAAAAGAACAGAATTCACATCATTCTTAATATGGGATCAAGCCAAAACTGAAGGAAAAACTGAAGGATTTTAAATTTTTTTTTTTTTTTTAAGTAGGCTCCATGCCCAGCATGGAGCCCAACATGGGGCTTGAATTCATGACCCTGAGATCAAGACCTGAGCTGAGATCAAGAACTGGATGCTTAACCAACTGAGCCACCCAAGTGCCCCCCAAAACCGAATGATTTTAATGTAAATTATCCAAGCTAGAATCCCATATTTTAAACTTAAATTTGAATCAGCAATGATTTTTATTGCTGTCTCCTCCCCTTCTATTTTTACTATTCTTTTGAAGCTGAATCAGAGAAATGTGCTGAACATGTGGATTGCAGCAACTGGATTTCTCAGACAGGAAGCAAAAAGAAACAATTTTCTCCCTTAGGTTGCTTTTATTTAACAATCTGAAGAGTGATTATCTGAGTTCAAGGATTATATTTAGATTGGTCCTAGCAAAGAAGAAAAAAATACTCCTTTCACAACTAAGATAGAGCCAAAAGCCTTTTCTAGCTAATCAGTCAATTCCCAAGCCAGTAGGAATTGAGGCTTTATCTACTCTTCTACAAGGAGCAGAACTGGTGGGATCCAGGATACCTTTATCTTATTGCATAGGTATGAAAATATTGCCTAAGCAGAATTGGAAAACTCACCAAATAAATAGAACGGTGAAATGAATACAACATTCTTAAATGCATTTAGAGCTGAACAGGCTACATATCAGAAAAAAATTTCACTTAAAGTTTGCTTGGAATCTTTTACATTAGTCTATGATAGAAACATAAATAATCAATGGGAACACCAAGCCAAGAGAATAAAACCATGGAAGAAAAGATAATCTGGGAACTAGAGAAGCCAATTCCTAATGCTATATATAAATACAAAACATATATATACACATATGTGATTTAAAAAAATGTTATGACACATTTATGGCTCAAAAATACTCGTTCACATTACAGATCTCTTTTCTCACCCTTAGGCAAAGTTTGGTATAGAGGATAGAGGATTTCTTTCTGTATCTTCTCTGTCTTTCTTTTTGTCTCTCCTGCCTAGTCTTACCTATCAAAATTCCATACCATCCTTTAAGAACCATGTTAAAACCTTCTCCATCAATAACCCTCTCCCAACAATTGAAAATAACTTGTCTTTTGTGCTCCCCAACACTATATTTGCATCACCACCAAGCTAAAAGCTCTAAAATGTTAGACTTCTTGGGATGTCATTCTAAAAAATTTGTAAAATGAAGTCCTTACCACCCCTTGTATGGCAAGAATTTAAAAAAGAAGTCACAGTCATCTGAAGTCAACACAAGACCTTTTTCTAGAAAATACTGGAGAACTTTCTATGCAGATAACAAAAAGGAGGACTGAACATAGCTGCGGGGGTACGTGGCTAAAAATCTTATAAGTTACATCTCAAAATTTAAAATTATCTCACTCTTTTTCACAACTTCTGTTTGTTGTTTCTTCTTCAGCAGGGTCACATACCATCTGGTAAACATAGCAGCTGAAGACCCTGCTTGGTTTCTGTTCTATGTGTAGTACCAAGTCTCTGTCAAAGTAGACTTCATGGCTGTATGTCTGTAATGAAAACATAGTCAAATGAAATCTCCTCTTCACACAACCATCTTCACAATTATGTCACTAAAATGTCATAGCACCTATGCTAGGGATCTTCAAATATATACTTGGAAGCAAAACAATTGCTAGAAATAGTTTATTTTCATTACTTATGAATATGCAGATTACTTATAAGAAAAGCATTACACAAAACGTTGAAAATGAAAAAAGCCCTGGTCGTAGGAGTCTGAACACTCAGATTCTATTGCCTATACTGCTATTTCACTATGTGAAATAGTGGTCAAGTTGCTAAACCTCTTGGGTACTCCACTGATAAAACAAAAGGATTGGATAAAATAACAGCTACTCTTCCTTATAGTTTTTATACTCTATAATAATCAAAAAAGTAGACAAATATTTCTGAGAGTGCCTGGAAACCCTAATGCTTAGATATCATCTCTATTAAATAACCGGGGGGATTCAATAGAGTATATTTCTATTTTTAAAAATGTTACCAAACTTATAAAATGTGAGAAAACCAAAGACTATGGTAAGGAAATAAACAGCATGTCTCAGAATAAAACGTAAGACTTCATCTTTAATGGGCGCCTGGGTGGCTCAGTTGGTTAAGCGACTGCCTTCGGCTCAGGTCATGATCCTGGAGTCCCAGGATCAAGTCCCGCATCGGGCTCCCTGCTCAGCAGGGAGTCTGCTTATCCCTCTGACCCTCCCCCCTCTCATGTGCGCTCTCTCTCTCTTTCAAGTAAATAAATAAATAAATCTTAAAAAAAAAAAAAAAAGACTTCATCTTTAAGGCCTTTAGAAAGGAGGCATCCTCTAGTTCCTAGGGAAGGAAGGCTTAAGAAGTACTCATTTTGTCCTGTAGGATGATATCCTCTTTCATGTGGTCACTGGTATAGGTGACCCTTGACTAACTTGAACACAGTAACATCTGTTCCATAAATATCACCTACAAAGAAAATTCTTACAACTTCATATTCCATGGACTCTACTCACCACATCCCATGACTCCACTAGTGGAATGCTTTTAAGTAAAGTTCCATATTCATTACAGTGGAAATCCAGGTGAGCTTTTCCTTCAGCATCTATTTGGGTAACAGCTACCACAGAAAGCAAATCCAGCTCATCTTCATAGTCCACAATTTTGAAAGTCTCAGGGAAAAGATGGATAAGGCAGAGGAAAAGAGGGGCAAAATCCAGTTATCCAGTTAGGATTATTTCTATTTGTAGTTTAACTATTCTATTACTTATTTTCAAAATGTAGAAAGAGGAATGAATGGATGAGAGCATAGGTAGAAATGGGTCTCTACTTTCATGCCTAGTAAAGTCCCAAGATTCTGAAGACTGCAACAGTATCCTACCGATTCTGACAGACCAAATCTATGTAGATCTCAGTCAAAGTATTACTGAAATTCTGTTATGACAGCAAACTAGAACTTCTCCAAATTCAAAAGAGGTACTCAACTGCTGCCTCTGACATGTGTGTTCACTGGTTTCCAGATAGGACTAAATACATGAAGTTCAGTTCTGAAACCCAAAAACTACCCACTTTCTTACCTCAGAAAAACAAAGGTCATTTCAAAAAGAACTGATAGCCTATCACATACTATTTATGACTCTATCGGCCTTTTTTTTTTTTTTTTTAATGCTTTTTGGTTTCCTAAAGAAAGCAAAAATGGCTGCTTATACTTGAAGGAGAATATTAATTAGGAACTGAAACCCAACCCGCAGAACAGGACTGGGATGAGAGATGTTAGCTGGAAATGATTAACGATGGTAAAGTCTTAAGAGAGAAAACTCTAACCCCAAACTCTGTTTAAGAAAGTAAACCTGGGACTCCAACCACCTCACAGGGGAAGCAGATCCATGCCAGCCATCCAGGGATGGACCACAGGAAGGGACATTTTGGCAGGCACAAGTTTCTTTGAACCACCACATACTAATCCTTCACTCATATTTGGTCAAACTGCTTTTTCATCTATTTATATTTTCTGCCTTTACTACCCATGACATAAAAATTTATAGGGATTTATTACACATGGTTTCTTTTTATTTACTTTTTTGCCTTAATATTACCTTGGTCAAAATTCAAAGAGTAGACTTCTTGCCTGGGTGTAGTGATTTTATAGCCTTTAGTCACAACCCCTTTCAGCTTCTCTTTTATAGACTAAAAGTTTTTGTTTTCCAATCTCGTGATGTAGAGTATCTCTCTCTTTGTTACCACCTTCTCCTTGTTAATTATTTTTGCTACCTTTCAGTAATTTTAGTATATCTTTCTCAAATATAGTTTTATACACAGGGAGCTTTCTGCTTTGTTCTCAATAGATTTCTATGGTTCAAAAAATATACATGTATTTATTTTATATATTTTTATATTACATATTTTATATGTTATATGATATATTTCATAAAATATATTGTATATATGTATATATATACATAATACATTACATAATATACAAATGTACATATATATATATATTTCTTTTTTGAGAGTAGCCATATACTGGGTCACCTCCAACCTTTTTAAAAGATTTTCAAAAACTATCCTTAGAAGGCTACTCTAATGTTTCTACCTAGAAATGGTCACGCAATCAAACAGTTTTCTGGTCCAGACAGATTTAGAATTCATGCAATGGTTATATATTTGAAGCATGATCACTGTCCGTTGATTTCATAAGAACTTTCAATGCCTCTTTAAAAGAAAGGGATAAAAATGTATTAGCTCAGTGACTGGCAATGTCAAGTTCAGGCCAGAGGCTGAACTAATTTATCACACCCTCACACCCTTCTTCCCTGGCCCACGATCATTACCAAACATATCCATGTCCCGTAAGTAAAAAATAAAGCAAAAGCCATAAAGTCATCAGGATATAATTAAAGTATTTTCTATTAAATTTCCCTAGAAATGTGCACATTAATAAAACAAAACCATAAGCTAGCAGTGTTTTCAAATTATTTCAGTTCTAAGAACATTTCTGCAAATAAAATCTTACAAATAATTCCAGTATGAGAGGAGAGGATGATGGGGATGCACTGATTGAAATACCATGCAGAATCCCACCAATGAAGTCTGCATGGAACTACTCACCCCCAACCTGTATCCCAGAGTCTGGGAAGCAGACTTGAAAAACCACAGGGCTAGTACACACTAGTTTGGTTTGTTATCTCTGGCTAAAGTAATACCTCTTGTTCTGGGTCATCATCCAGAAGGTTAAAATTTTTTTTCACCACCCGTCCAGAAGCTGTAACAATGGGTAAGTTTTCATTCTATCATATGGAGAGAAATAAAAAGATATGATGAATCCTTTTATGTGCAATAAATAGCAAAACTACTAAATTTTGTTAAACAACCAACCCTTATCCAACATCCACAATTCTTTCCTCTACTGAGAAAATTCTGAATCAGATTTCTCATCCTCCGATTAGTAAAAATACTTACTATAATAAATTATGGATAAAATACCAAAATAGGCAAACAACAAATACAAAGGTTACAAATTTGCTACTTTACTCGCCCTTCTGATTTTTGCTTTAGTATAAGTACAGCAATGCTACAGTGGATCTGCTTTTGGAAATTTCTCTCTGCATAATTTTCTTCATGTTCTTAATTTGTACACTAAAGAAAAAGAACTATTTGGAGTTAAAACATGGTATGTGATTTTTAAAGATTCATATCTACCCCAACCTACTCTAAGTTTGCACAATTAATTAAACCCAAAGGTCAAAAATTCATCAATAAAAACTGAAAGAGAAACCCAGAAAAGAAACAGAAATTAGCAAAAGATAAGCTCAATATAATCAACTCTTTTCAAATCTCAGTTGTGCATGGGGCTAAGACCAGCTAACTACGTAGACAAAAAAATCCAGACTTTTATTGTGCTGCTCTTTTCTGCCACACTAAAAGACAAACACATTTGTATACTATATTCTCAAATAGAAAGACAGTGATATACAAAGAATTTTAAAGTACTCCTGGCTTACTTTATTCTTCTCCCTGTTGGCCAAAATGACAAAATCTTCAGAGATCTGATGCTGGGCACTATTATTTTCTACTTCATTTAGCTTTAAAACTCTGAAAAGGGAAAAAAGAACCTAAGACCTCAACACACATCAAAGTGCCAAAGTTGAACTACTGAAATGAAACTCAACAAGTGAAAATTACAGGAACAACACTAAGTTAGTTCTCCTCTCCTCCTGTGGAATCTGAAATATTAATGTCTGATCACGTTAGGGTCCATAAACTCCTTCAAATTCAGAGATTTTTGTTAAACAGAAAACCTGTGACAACAGGTACTCCTGAAGTAGGTAATGAAGCAGTTTCCTCAGGCCTAAGCCATCTTCCAAATTGGCTTAATGAAAGTTACTCTAAAGAACCTCATCTTTTTCATCCTGCAATAGGTCTTTAACGTTTCAGCTTTAATGGTGGCATTATAGTAGATACTGGCATTTTTTACTTCTGAAGATAGAATGAGATATCAATGAACAACACTCAGAATTAACTATAAGGCAGACTGGATTAGCAACTAAACCTAAACTAAGAGTTTTCATAAAAGAGTAATATTTAGAAACTTCAATTTACTTAATACTTTTATCGTAGGATTATATTTAAAGATTTGGGTTTTCTGAGTGCAAATGGCCTAATGGATCAAGCTTACTAAGCAAGAGAAAAGAAAATAATTTGCTCACCACCCACACAAATCTGTTCACAGCATTAACAAGCTTCAAAAGCACAATGTTCTCAAAGCTTAAAGTCTAAAACGCAGGCAAAGAAAATAGCAGGGAGAAGCAGCTACTGTGGCCAGAGAGAGCCAGAAGCCTTAGAGTTTGCCACAGGCAAAGAAATCAGATTATATTTTAAATTACTCAATTTGTTATCTTAAATAAAAAAGTGCCAATATTTAAAAGTGCCTATCTTCTAGAACCTGGCAAAAGGGCACACACTCTTTGTGGACCTTATTTTCTTAAGCTCAAACTACTATTAAAAGGTGGGTAATGGGGCACCTGGGTGGTTCAGTCAGTTAAGCATCCGATGCTTGATTTTGGCTCAAGTCATGATCTCAGGGTTGGGAGATCAAGCCCTGCATCAGGCTCCACACTGGGAGTGGACCCTGCTTAAAATTCACACTCACCCTCTGCCCATCCCTTCCTCTCTCTCTTAAAAAGAGAGAGAGCGAGAAAGAAAGAAAGAAAGAAAGAAAGGTGGATAGGCAACAAACATTAAAACCAAGGTTTACTAAAGCTGAACTACAGTTTTTAAGACTTCTTATAAAAGTTGATCATCTTATTGAATTAAGTTCCTTTATCTTCTTTATAATCAATCCAGAAAGGTAAACTAATTAGCATGAAGCATAAGAAATACAGAAGGCAGACAATGTCTTTCTTATTCAAGAAATTTACTGAGCACCTACTCTGTGCTAGGCACTATGCTCAGTGCTGGGGTTATAGTCAGCAAAACAGACTCTTTCCCTGTCATTACTGAGTTGATGACTCCAAAGCTAGATATTTAAACAGATAATCAAACAAATAATTAATTAAAATTGCTGTGTTAGAGGAGGATAACAGTGCATTCAGTGAAAATATGATGGGGGAGCTAATCTAACGAGGGGTATCAGGCAAGGACTAGGTGCAAAGGAGATATTTAAGCTGGCGACGAAATATGAATAGAAGTTAGGCAAGAGAACAGGGAAGGGAAACACACTCCAAACAGAGCAAACAGGTCCCTGGCTGTCTGATAAGACAGCATTACTGAAATAAACTGAATGGGAGGAGAGTCTTTCAGACCATGCTAAGTGAATGAGGGTCTTTATCTCAGGAACAAGAAGCCATAAAAAGGTTAAGGCAGAATCCACTTGGTTAGGATTTTGTGTTTGTTAATGATTCTAAAAATCACTCTCACTGCTGAGAAGAAAACAGACTTAAAGAATATAAAAAAGGATTCTTGGGAGTCCTGTAAGTAGACTATTACTATAGTCCAGGCTAGTGATGACAATAGTCTGACTCACAGGATATATGGGTGGGTGGGTGGGTGGGTGTGTGTGTGAGAGAGAAAATGCACATGAGTATATGTATATGTACTGAAGAAAGACAAAAAGGTAACAAAGTGTTCAGAATAATTCCAGATTTCTGGCATGAGACGTTTGGGCCAGGATATAAATTTTGGAGTTTTGGTGTATACATGATCTATGAAGCCAAGGGAATAAAAAGAATCAATAAATAGAATCATGCAGAAAGGGAATGAAGAGTGAGAAGAAAATAGGGTCTAAATCCTGGGGATATCCAATAATTAAAGTCTGAGTAGAAGAGAAAGAACGTGAAAGGATACTAAGAAAGACACATCAAAGAGGGAGGAAAATATTCAGGACTGTGGTGTCAGGGAAGCCAAATGAAGAGTGTTTCAAGAAAGGAAAGGTCAACTGGATGGAAGATGTGGGTCAACAAAGCAAAACAAGGTTTACTTCAAACAACTCCTGTTCTAAAGCTGTCTTTTAGAACAAAGACAAATCATTTCTCTCCTTAATCCTGAAGAATTAAAACATGATGAGGACAAGCCAATCTGAATCTTTTACCCATATATCATCCATCAAAGAATTTATTTAAATGTAACATCTACAAAGAGTAATAATGAGGCTGAAAGAATAAAGTTTTCTGGATGCCAGTCTCTGAGGAAGCAACCTGTAACAAGCTAATTATTTCTATAATTGAGTCAATAGTTAGCTGGCAAAAATAAACATGCCGATAAATGCTTCCAAAAGCTACTTTTCACTTTAAAGTAATTAATAAAAATACTCACTTGACCTGATTTGGGCCAACATGTATTATTCTACCAGAAGCATCAGGATGAAAATAGATCCAGTCAGATTCTAGAGAACAACATTCCATTTCTTGGATCCCATTTTTTGCCTGAAGTTGGGTAAAAATATTGAAAACAGAGATCAAGGGAAAATAAAATAAGTTTTCAAATCTACCTCAGTCATTGATCAGTAAATCAAAGGTACAGGGCAGAGAAAATATCAACAGTTGAACTGGGATATGTCTAAGAATTGAATTAGGACACTCATACTTGAGAAATCCAGAACATTTACCCTGTACCATACAATGTACCTCACAAATAACTTAACAGTTATCATATCTCAAGCATCTAATTTGTATCAGGCACTACAGTAGATGTTTTAGAGTCATTTCATTTAACAATATTCAAAGCATTTATTATATCCCCACTTTGATGAGGAAACTGATATATAAAAAGGATGAATCATTTGCTCAATGTTTTACATGTACTAAACAGCTGCTCTGATTCTGAGGTTCAAGAACTTGTTCCATCACGTAACTCTGCACAATCATGCACACACAGTTCCCTATAACTTCTTCCTCCCTTGCCTATCCCCAATAAACTGTCAAAAGGAGTGGTTAGCACAAAGATAAACATGCAACCCAATCCCAAATCTCAGAAACAGGTCATATAAATCTCCTTGGATAAGTCAGATATAAACCTCTAATAATGAAGAAATGGTCTAATACTGCTTAGCCTTCTAGGCAAGTAGAGATTTATTTCATGGTAGGACATTTAGACACTAAAATAAAGAAAAGAAAAAGATACCTCCATGATATAGGATCACATACGTACATAAATGTTTTACCTTATACATAGGAGCACTAAGAACTAATATTAGCATGGATACAATGATTTCATTTAATTTCTTTAATTTCCCCAATGTAAAGTGAAGTGATACCACCTTTCCTATTAGATACTTATAAAACTTTTTAAATTATTAACTTATTAATTTCATTAACATATACTGACAGGACACTGTTTTAAGTATCACATTAGGTGTTTGTACCTCGCATGAACTAAACATAACTCTTGCCATCAAAAAGCTCATAATCAAGAAGGGAGGCAGAAACATAAACAGAAATAAGTGCAGAAAACAAAAACAAAAAGAAACAAAAAGTGTAGAAAACAAAGTAATCAAGCCATGCACAAGATATTAACAAGCATCCAACCCAGGTGAGCAGAATATTAGAAGAAAAAACAGAGCTTAAACTAAGCCTTAAAGGATGAGCACAAAGTGGCCAAAAAGAAGAGATGGGAAAACACAAAACACAGAAATGTTAATCCATATAGCATGTATATGTGTACACATGAATAAAAGTTTTATCTTTGGCTCCTACAAAAGAAATATAATGACTAGGGAAATAGGTGGGGGCTATGTCACAAGTGCTTTGTTTGCCACACTTTTAAAAAAATGGAATTTAACACATTTTCTGTATTAGTGACTGTTTTAATTTTTCAGGAATTTTTATAAGTATTCTAATAATTTCTAATATGAATGGAGGTATTATTATATTGTACATATAAGGAAATCAATTTAATTAAACACCTTGGTTGCAACCACTGAAATTAATGTGTCCAAGATGGCATTAGCTCTGGATGCGTCTTTGTTTAAAATAAAACATGTACATACTTATACACATCTTTCTTTAGACAATTCCCTTTATTATAATTACTATTAACATGCAAAAGAAATATTATCTCTTTTCGTGTTAAATATAAGGCAGCATTATTACCAGTTCTGTAGTTTTTGTTATGTGCTTGAATCCTAGATTTTAAAGCTCAGTTTAATAGAAAGCTATGAAACATTTTCTGAATTCTTCAGTTTGGCTGTGTTTTTGCGTTATCTACTATAGTTATGTGTTTTTGGGTTATCTACTCTTCTGACTGACAGGTGGGGAAGTAATGGGCATAAGCATACTTAAGTTAATGTCACTACAGCAAAGCTGTCTGGCAAAGGAACTGAAAACTTCCCCTGGCTTTGGCATTTAGGAATGCGTGGAAACGTAGATATGACTAGATGTTATAATCAGTTATTATAGAAGTTGAGTACTTGACAGGCATGCTTGATATAGATGTTGGCGGCCATTTTATACACACACACACACACAATAATATGTCTTGTCAGTTCTTATATAAAAAGAATATGTACTAAATATCCAGAATGTGAATCGTACAGCTTTTGACTGGATAGAAAAGTTAAGTGAAAGAGATGGTGGCTGAAGGTCCTGGTGGCTGAAGAATGTTCACTGGCTGAGAGGTAGACAATCAAATCACAGACTTGTCATGACAGGAAATAGCCCTTAGAGAGGCCACTCTAAAAGAAGATGTCCCTGGGCTGGGCCAAATAGGAGCTGTCACATGTGATACGTAAATGAAAAAATGAAAGGGGACAACATCCCCACAAAAGAAAACTAGAAGACACTAGACACAGTGTTCCCTGGCAGTGACATCAAAGGAAATAGATAACTGGACCCAAGATTGTGTTGATCTTTGGTGTGGTGAAAGGTGGCCTGTGACTAAAAGCCACTGCGTACAACAGTGACTGATTGAGCACGATCCTGGAAGAGATGGGTGTGGAATAAGCCAAGTCTGCCTCAGAAAAAGTAAGATCATTTGAGATATCAAATATATAGGTTCCAGATATAAACTACACTAACTTGGCAATACAAAACAAAGGGGAACCCCTCCACCACTCCCTGTGCATTTGCTCTTTTGCACTTATCTTAATCACTGTGCTTAACAGACTGCATCTTATTTATCTACATGTGTGCTTTCAAGAGCCTAAGCAACTTGAGGGAAGAGAATGTGTCCCCAGCCATGCCTGGCACACATTAGGCCCTCAATAAATTAAATTAAATTAAATTAAATGATAAATCATGCCTAAATCATTTTCAAAAAGAAAATAAAGAAAATTAATTCAAGGGGTAGAAATTTCTATTGTCTTACCATGTACCATTTCTTCCTATTCCGCCATAAGTAACTTAATAATGTTCTTGAGAATTCAAAGTGTTTCAATGCTTACATTGTGACCAACAGAGTTCTACCTGGTTCTGCTCTGGAAAGCTAATAGCAGCAAACCATGAAAAAACAGGACCAACGACACATTGCACCAGCAATTTCAGAGGCAGCCTGAACATACTCCATCGATAATTTCCACTATGGAGCTTCAGAGATGTTTTGCAGCAATCCCATGAGAAATCTTTGGTTTCTAAAAATTTTCAAATCTTAATGCTTTTAAATTCTTGGTAGTACACACAAGTGTTTTGTCATATTCTTTGTAGTCTTCTGTACCTAACAATGTTTACAAATTATTAACACAAACAAAAAGTAATTCTTAGGAATTCTTATTATAGAAGTAGAAAATAAAGAATCTCTGATACAAATTTACTACTAAAAGTCTGATCACTCATGATTTACCAAGGAATTATCTTTCAGAGCACAAATATGGAAAACTCCTTTCTGTTTCTTCTTATTAGGTGTGATGATGTAGTGCCAAGGATGGCCTCCAATCTGAAAAGCATTCTCCAGGGAGGATACCTCAAAGAGCAGTGGAGGTGTGTCTGCAGAGATGGGCAAAAGAAATTTATTATTTTCTCTGTTCTGGTAGCCTTGGAACATTCATGAACTGAATTCAACCCTTCTTTGCATGTACCATCTATAAATTTTCATTAATGAAAAATTACTATGTTCAGGAAATAAAATATAGTCAGGAAAGAGGCTGATTGCTAAGAAAAAGAGAAAGCTGGTAGGAAACAAATGCTGTTATGAGGTCAACTTTCTAGACATCTGTCTTCAGGCTATGTGTGACCTGCAGCTGAGTGGAGATAAAAAGTGGGCTGAAGGTGCTTATGATGGGAAAAAATGACAAAGTACATCTAATAAAAGCAGCTGCTATTTACTAGGCATGTATGTCTCAGACTCTGGGTTAGATACTATTTCCAACACTCACGACAATCCTAGTAGGTAATTAAGTCTAATAATTCCTTCAGATGTGAGGATGAGATCTTCCATATTCCAGACCAACAGGTTATACTTAGCAAACTTTATCGGAGCAGTCTTAAGATTTCCAGTGTAGAAGTGATATTAGTCATAATGAATGTAACCACTTAGGATAGGTAGGTCCTGTCACAGTGGAAGCTTTATTAAAGGGTAGCCACTACTACTAGTATCATCTTTAGACAAGTTAACTAGTTTAGATACATCTAGTCAGTCACTGTCGTTTAGAGACTGACACCATAAAAGAAGTATCTGTTGGTGCCTCTTAGTCTTTTCGATAACAACTAATTTTAAGTAGAGCGAAACAGATGTACTCTTAGAGAAATGCAAAAGTGGAATGTACTAGAGCTTTAGAAGACCAGAATAGCGTTTGGACAGTACTTGGGAAACATCACAAACCACACAGTCTGTTTCAGCAGGTGGTTAATCTACGACTCTTTTTTTTTACCCGTCTACCTTAAGAGTTTACTCTTTGGTTATGAGGCCATCACTGTCAGTAAAGGGGCTTGCGGTGGGAAGACCATTCACTCAAGAGTCACATGTTACATATAGAAGTGTGTACACTATTAGGCTTCTTCATAAGGACAATTTACCACTTGGTGCTATACATAAGGAGAAAAATAATGAAAAGTGAATTCACAAACTGACAGTCCTGAGAAAGAGACAAGTATAAACATATTAAATATACTTAAAGTGCTTTAAAAAAAAAACTTCTAGGAAAAGAATAATATTCTTAATATATAAAGAAGTCTTTTTAGGGTGCCTGGGTGGCTCAGATGGTTAAGCGTCTGCCTTCGGCTCAGGTCATGATCCCAGGATTCTGGGATCGAGTCCCACCATCGGGCTCCCTGCTCTGTGGGGAGCCTACTTCTCCCTCTGCCTCTCTCTCTGTCTCTTATGAATAAATAAATAAAATCTTAAAAAAAAAGTCTTTTTAATAAGAAAAATATGAACCCAACAGAAAACTGGGCAAAAAACATCAGTAAGTAAATTATGAAAGAAGTACAAACATTGTATGTGATAATATGGTAGCTATCAAATGGTGGTGAATGAGGAAAAAAATACAAAAAGAAAAAATATAATTAGAGTTTGAATTTGGGGTTGAAATTTCAAGTAGGTATGTTGTAGAGAATATAAAATAGGTATGAACAATAGGGAAAAAAAAGTCAATCCAAAAAGATGTATTTAAAAAGAAACACTTTTCTAAGCAGTTGCTAAAAATGGCCCCAAAGTAGCAGCAGGACTCTGTTCATCACAATTCTGATGGGTCCCCACTAACCTCAAGAGCCCGAATTTTGATCTCTAATACTATTTTCAGTTAAAGAGTCCTAGAAATTCTGACAGTAGCAGATTCCAAGTCTTGTAGTGAGGAAATTTTAGGATAGGTCTGAACCATCTGGTTATTGCTATAAAGGATATTTTACAAGGATGTCAGTGTAGTATTAAAAGAATAAGAGAACCAACAAAAGGAGCTCCTACTGGCTCGACTGTGGAGAGGCATTAAAAAGAAAATAATAATTATTATAATGCTCTGAGTCTGTGAAAGGTCAAGCAATGATACTTCAGATTTTTAATATAAATTGTACAAAATGTTGTATGGTTTATAAAAGAATGGCTATAATAGGATAATAATTTTTCTGTAACTTTAAAATATAGGGAATATATCAGGCATATGCAAATCAAAACCACGAGATATTGCCTCACACCTGTTAGAATGTCTATTACCAAAAAGATAAAGAACAATAGGATGTTGAGGAAAGGGAACCCTCAATGCACCACTCCTGGGAATGTAAATTGGTGCAGGCACTATGGAAAACTGCATGGAAGTTCCTCAAAAAATTAAAAATAGGGGACACCTGGGTGGCTGTCGGTTAAGCATCTGCCTTTGGCTCTGGTCATGAATCAGGGTCCTGGGATCAGGTTCTGTGTCTGGCTCCTTGCTCAGCGGGAAGCCTGCTTCTCCCTCTGCCTGCCACTCCCCTGCTTGTGCACTCTCTCTCTTTCTCTGTCAAATAAAGAAATAAAATCTTTCCAAAAAATAATCTAGTAATTCCACTACTGGGTATTTACCCAAAGAAAATGAAAACACTAATTTGGAAAGATGATAGGCACCCCTATGTTCACTGCAGCATTGTTTATAGGAGTTCATAGAGACAGAGAGCAGACTGGTGGTTATCACAGGGGAAGGGGTTGAGGGGTGTGTGAAATGGGTGAAGGGGGTCAACCGTATGGTGATAAATGGTAACTAGATTTACTGTGGATTTATGTAGGTTTACACTACGTATCACTTAGTAGTGTATACAAAAATCAATTTTTTTTGAGGTGAAAGCAGAGTTTATTGAAGATACGGAGCAAGCAGATATAGACAGACACTCCATGGGACTTGGAAAGGAAAGGAGTATGAGTCTCATCTTTGTTCAGGGTCTGGGGTTTTTTAGTGAGGGTGGTGGTTTGGTGTACATGTCCTCTCAGGTATCCAGGAACCGTTTAGAACAAAGACGAGGGCTCAGGTGTTATTTCCTGGAGCCAGGGGGTCTTGGCATGGAGATGTCTAGCTCCGGTGGTCTGGAATGCATATGTGATAACTTCGTCCAGTCATTCTCACCTGGCCCTTCCTTAGATGTTATTTATTCTAGAGAATCATCAACTCTTTGTCCCTCACAAGGAGGACATGCACTATTTGCATTGTAAGACATGTGTAAAGTGGGATAGGGGTGCAGGTCCTAGCAAGAATAGAAACTGGAAAAGAAGCAAAGGAAAAAAACAGCTTTTTCTCTCATGGGGTCCCCTTCAATTTCTCGCTCATTCCCTAGTATGAGATTTTTATCCTCCTAATTCTTAAGGGGTGTTGAAGGGTGAAGGTCTCATCTTCTGTAACTTCTTCAGGCTGAAAGAGATTATAGATCCTACCTATTGAGAGGCATAAAAATCCTGAGCTACCTCATTACGTGGAGGGTCCCTAGGAGCAGACTGTTTGAGTTGGAGGCACTCATGAGGCCTCATCATAAGAATGGGATGCTTCCTACAGTTTTTACAAACTTTACAAAAATTTGTCTGACATATTTATGCAGAGCATGTAATAACAATAGCTCCCTCAATAAAAAGACCTAGAATAATTATTATCATAGCTAGTAAAAGAAGTGGTTTCCATCAGGACTATCCATTTCCGCTAAACCAGGAAGAAATCCAATCACTGAGAGAATTAGAGGAGTCAGACGTTGCTTTAATTCCTATGTGCATGTCTGCTAAAACTTTGGATATGTTAGAGTTATCAGGGATATATACAAAATATTTAGTCTCAATATTAGCATAAGGTTTTTCTTGAGCTACAGTCAGGATGTCAAGGACCATTTGGTTTTGGAGGTCTACCTTTTGAATTTGTGGGTGACTGCATGTTGGGTTTGGTTAAAGGTGGCCACTATATGCTTGGCTAAAGCCTCTGTTTGTAATTTTACAGCTATAGAGGAAGCTCCTGGGAAAAATATGGCTAAGGGATAAAACCATCAAGAATCCCTCTTTGTCTGATGTCTAGCTTTGTTAATATCCTAATTATGAAGAATCACTCACAAGTGGGAGATAACTTGTCCTGGGAAAAATTGAATTATTATGCTGTACACCTGAAACTAATCTAATGTTATATATATGTATCAATTTTATCTCAATAAGAAAAACAGGCAGTTAATCTTAGATACTTCTTCTATTAAATAAATGTTTAAAAAATTTAGATACATGTTAAGTGAAAATACAAGGTACAGAACAGAATATATGATATACTACATTTGGTGTAAGAAAGAAGGTAACATTTAAAGAACACATACACACGTTTGCTTATTTTTATAAAAACAAACAACAGAGGGATAACCTCTAAACTAAAAATAATGATTACTTCTAGGGGCAGGGTGGGGTAGGGGGAAGGAAGTAACAGAATAAAAGGACTATATATGGAAGCAAAATTTCTCAGACAATATCTTTTTATATAGTTTTGACCTTTGAAATATACATATTTTACAACTTCAAGAATAAAGTCAAAGGGAAAAAACAAACCTAAAATTGAAAACAAACTAAAACAAATTAATCTAATTACATAAAATTGGTAACCTAATCATACAGAAAAATAATTTCAAATAATCTTTGAACACATTACTTCTATAGTACACTTTTTGGGCTGTACACTAAGAACAAAAGGAACTCTAGAGAAATCTTAACCTTCAAAACACTATACTTTAGCTTTTAGTAGTAGCACTGATATGGCAATTTTAAGATTATCACATATATAATAGGATAAAATTTTATTAGGCATCAAGTTAAGTGGGAGCCAAAAGAAATACAAATATAAAAGCAAAAAACAATTAAATTGGAAATATGAAAATGAACTAATGAATTTTTGTTTTAATATATTTCCCAGCTCTGTTCACCAAAAAATAAAGACAGCCAATTGCATTGAGCACAACTAGATCTTGGTCTGTGCTGTGGGTTGAACTGTGTCCCTCAAAAAGATAAGTCAAAGTCCTAACCCCTAGTATCTGTGAATGTGACCTCATTTGGAAACAGGGTCTTTGCAGAGATCATATTGGATAAGGGTGGATCCTAAATCCTATGACTGGTGTTCTTATAAGGAGAGAGAGAGAGAGATTTGAAGACAACAGAGTAAAGAAGAGCATGTGAAGACAGGCAGAAATGGAAGTTATACTGCCACAAACCAAGAAAGGCCAAGGATTGTCAGCAACAACCAGAAGCTAGAAGAGGGAAGGAAGGATTCTTTCCTAGAGTCTTCATAGGGAAGTCATCTCTGCCAACACCTTAATTTTAGACTTCTAGCCTCCAAAACTGTAAGAGATTAAATTTTTCTTGTTTAAAGCTACCAGTCTGTGGTGTTACAGCAGCCCTGGGAAACTAACACAGTCAATGATGATGTTCTCTACTAAAATGGTTCCTTGTCAGATCTAGGACACGGAAAGTAAAAGACAAACCTGCAATATATTATTGTTCCAGAAAACAAGGAAATTCTCCAAGACTACTGGGGTGTGTCAAAGTGGAGTTCTCATTGGCCAAATTTGGGGCAATCTGAACATCATTAAGAATAATGACTGTAACTATATAATTTTGAATAAAAAAAAATCCTTGAGTCTATTGTGATTATATATGTGTGCAGACCTCTGAAATATTCTGCCACCATTGGAAGTGACTATTATACCAACTCCTTGTTCAAATGTTGATAATTAAAGAGAAGGAATAAGTATGTACTTTGACTTTTTAGGAGGAATTATAGTTCTATTCCTAGGCGACAAGTGAAAGTCTTTATTTATGGAAAATGTTAGTTATTAAAGGTAGAAGGAATGACAGAATCCTTCAAATGGCCATTCTGCCACCCCAAATGACATAACTGATTCAGGCAAGAATCATTAATAGTTACAGGAATATTCTTATGTTTTCTGTAATCATAGAAAATTAAAAACAACCTACATGTCCAGACTAGTGAACTGGTTCAACAAATTTAGAGTTCATCAATAAAATGGTATATAAGTCAAGTTCTTCAAATTTCAAGGAGCTGCATGTGTACATGCATACACAAGGAACCACAATGTAAGCACCACATTCAAAAAGTATTACAAGATATATAATGAAAACTAAATCTTCCTTTCATCTTATCCCTCAGAGGTAACTACTATTTATCAGGTTTTTGGGTGTCCTTCCATACATTCCAAGCAAATCTAAAAGCATGAACTAGGGGTGCCTGGGTGGCTCAGTTGGTTAAACAACTGCCTTCGGCTCAGGTCATGATCCCAGGGTCCTGGGATCAAGGCCCGCATTGGGCTCCCTGCTCCTCGGGGAGCCTGCTTCTCCCTCTCCCTCTGTCTGCCACTCCCCCTGCTTGTGCTCTCTCTCTCTCTGTGTCAAATAAATAAATAAAATCTTTAAAAATAAATAAAAGCATGAATTAATGAATTTTTGTATATGTATAAAAAAGTATACTTATAACATGTGAATATGAATTCTTTATACAAATGAAGCTTTTTATATACAATTTTATACTCCTTTTTATCACTTGGTAATATATATTGGAAATTGCTCTATACCAATGCAAAAAAAAAGTTTTTTTTAACAATTAAATTTATGATACAGCCAAACAATGAAATAATATTAGTGCCACCTACCAATGTACATGTTATTTCCAATCATTTGCTATTAGAAACAATGTACTTGTACACTTGTCATTTTGTACACATGTGAATATATCTGGTATAAATTCCTAAACATGGAATTGTTCAAGGAATATATACATTTAAAGCTTTGATACATATTGACAAACTGTCCTCCACAAAGGACCCCAATAATAAATGAATATACTGTTACAGACTTCTATACTTTTAACAAACACTGTTATGTAACTTTATGATATTTGAGAATCCAAAAAGATATATCTTATGATAATTTTAATTTGCATTTCTCTTATCAGTGATGTTGGGTTTCACCTTCCCCTAATTTAAAAGCCAAACAAGACTCAGTATCCCCAGGCCTTCAGTTCAATGAATAACTGATAGATTTTGTTAACACCTATTCAATAGCAAGGAATATGCTATATAGAAGTAAAATGAATTCAGTTTATAATTAAATTATGAGAAAACATCTGGATGATTACAATAAATATTTATATGACCACTTATTTCTTAAGGTGAAAAAAATGCTATATAGTAGCCATACCTGTGATTTTAATATTACAAGGAATGCCAAAAGGAGCCTCTCCTACAGTTCCAGCAGTCCCACCCCATCTGCATGCACACCCTAAGTCAAGTTTCTGTTGCATGAACTAAAAACAAAACAAAACAAAAACGGTGGCTTTAGCACCTACTTATTCGCTGTCTGAGGAGAGAAAAAGTCAAATTACATGTATATGACAGAGAAAATATCTTTATTGACTCAAGGCGTTTGTTTCTCTTCCCTCCCCTCTTTTAAAAGTTACTTTGTCTGTCTGCATTTGTACAGTTTTGTAGAGTTGAAATCTACACAAGTGCCTTATTCTAAAAGCATTTCATTAAAAAAAAAAAAAAAAGTCATACCTCAGTCCAAACCTCGAGTTATTATAATATGGCAAATTTCAGTCTTCTCTACCTGTTCAGTGATGGCTTGGAAGCTATAGAGTCTGACCAGTCCTGAGCTGTACATCACAATTAGTATTCCATGAGACAAGGTAGCATCTGTAACGTTCCCGAAAATCTGAGGGGAAAGGTAGATATCACCTGAGAAAAGACCAGAAGGCCAATCCTCTGAGTGTTCACAGTGGTTTGTGCATTTGCTTAGTATTCAGGTCACCACTACAACACTGCTGCCTACCATATAACTTAATTATAATTTAGAGACTTGAAATTAAAGTGTCATTAGAGTTGTAGGCCACTAGAGTCTCAAAGAGGAACACTAATGGGAGTGCAGCACTTAACCCTCAAAATGAAACAAACTGAGGGTTCTAGAGGGGAGGGGGTGGGGGGATGGGTTAGCCTGGTGATGGGTATTAAAGAGGGCACGTATTGCATGGAGCACTGGGTGTTATATGCAAACAATGAATCATGGAACAGTACATCAAAAATAAATAAATTAAAAAAAGAAAAAAAATGATTCAGCAGCATTCATTTGCTTCATCCATTTGCTTTACAGTTTTGTCAGTATCTTTTAATAACACATCCTATTCCTTGTGGACATAGGCATACACTGAGACCATCTAATTCTACCATGCAGGATATGTGTTGTCGAGTAAATATAGGGATCTATTCTTCATGCTAAAATGTTATTTATAAAGAAACTTATTTTTTAGCTAAAAGTGAAAAGATTGGATGTAAGAAAGTACTTCTAATGAAAAACAGCCAACTCCAGAATTTTACCATTACTTTGTTCTTTAAATATCTAATACTGCTTGATTTTTCAGTCATATAAAAACCAAACGTGTTAAAGACCAAGCAAGCACCTATAGACACATTTAGCCCGGCTAACCCTGAGTAAGGCTTTGGCTCTTTGTTCCCTTTCTGGTTTGTTCTATGCACTGGATCCTGTCCTAATCCTCCACAGAGCTCCGATAAAATAACTTGATTCTGTGCCTATTTTAATATTTAACAAAAGCCAACATAGACAAATATTCGTAGCAATGAAAGAACAAGTGGAAATTAAGTGAAAATCTGTTTCTGTTTCTACTCAAGACAAATTACTTAGTGAAGATTTACTACCCCAATGATGAGCTTAAAGTACATTTTGAACTTCGCTCCTGGATAGTCTCTTATACATGGGGAGTAGAAGATACACTTCAGTTCCAACTAACCCTAATCAAAACCACATCCCTCCAATTATTATCATAGGAATCTAAGAATAAATAGAAACAATTTATGACTTAGTTAACTGTTCATTCCTGTTGTAGACTGTAATAAGCATACACAACTACTTCATCCACAAGCACAAAGAAAACAGTTATATTAGTAAATTGTTTCTTGTCATCTCTTAGAAAGATAATTATGCTTTGCTTCGATCTTGACTAGCTCATGATTTTTTACTTGCTGATCCTTGTTTCCCACTTTGAAAAGGAGGACCTGTGTAATTCAAACATGTTTTCAAACAATGAGTGCTCTAATATAGCAGCCACTGCATCTTAAAATTTGGTTCACACTTTGGAGTCAAACCCAGGTTCTAATTCCAGCTTCTCCACTTACTTCGGATTTCGGTAGCTGCTTAACTTCCTAGTTGAACCCACTGTATGTTACAAAGTTATAAACTACTCAAAGTGCCTGGCACAAAACAATGAGTAAGTAACTGATACTACTCACTCGCCTTTATGTAGCTTAGTATAATATGCTTATGCAAAATTTTTTTAATATGTTCATCTTATTTGCTAATGACTCTTAGTGGACCCTGAAGATCTGACCTCAGTAATACTTGAGGTGCATAATTAAAGACCAGTAGAATAGACCAATAAATAACTATCCACCTAGACTAAGTAACAATTTTTTAATGGAAAGTAGGAGGCTATTGATTCTTTTACTTAAAGGAAATATGTCTTTCCTTTCCTCCAATATAACAGACCATAAATCAAGAAAAATGACAAGAATAAAACCTATAACTGAATGAGTTGGAAAACTCACATATTTAATTATATGTCTTGTTTATGTAACATAAAACAAATTTTAGATCTACACTTTGCAATTAAAATGATTCATTTTGTTGTAGCTTTTCATCTTCCTAATGGTCATTTTAACAAGCTTTGGAATATCCCTCTAAAAAAAACACCTTACTCATTTCATAATTTTATAAAGTAGTGGTTTGTTAATGACACCAAAGGTATTCAACACTTCCACTTGAAAGGCATAAGAACATGCAGAAAGATGAAAGGATGATTAGGCTTTCTTCCTAAATGAAACATTCTCATGTATTTTGATATGAAACAAACTAGATCAGAGAGCTTTTTACAGTCAGGGGAACATTTGCAATCAAAACACCTAATAAACAAACATACATTGACATCACATCTTATCAAAAAATTAATATTGAAATAAAATAAGTAAGTTCTTACCTTCTTGTTGATCTCCAGAATCCCTATAAGTGAAAAAGGTAAAACATGGAACACTGCAAGGTACAGCAAAACAGACTGTTGAATGCCTGCCTAAAAGGAAAGATTAAATTACAGGCAGCTCTCAAAAGAATTTCAGAAACACTATTTTCATGAGTTGAAAACATCCATCTGTCCTAGCAGTTATGTGGATGTTTTCATGAATTGAAAACATCTATCTACCTTGCAAAGTTACTTACACAGGAAAGCATACATGTTCAAAATATGTCCATTAAACCTTCAGCCCTTCAATACACATACACATACACACACAAATCTATAAAACTAAACATAGGGGCGCCTGGGTGGCTCAGTCGTTTAAGTTTCTGACTCCTGATCTCAGCTCAGGTCTTGATCTCAGGGTCATGAGTTTAAGCCCCGCATCAAAAATAAGTAAATAATAAAAAAAATACAAATAAATAAACATTAACAGTAAACATTTCTCAGTAACAAAACATATTTTATATACTCTACAACAAAAACATTTTATATACTGCATAATAAAATATATTTTCTGTATTTTTTTTTAAGATTTTATTTATTTATTTGACAGAGAGAGAAAGCGAGAGAGGGAACACAAGCAGGGGGAGTGCGAGAGGGAGAAGCAGGCTCTCCTCTGACCAGGGAGCCTGATGCGGGGCTCAATCCCAGGATCCTGGGATCATGACCTGAGCCAAAGGCAGACGCTTAACGACTGAGCTACCCAGGTGCCCCTATTTTCTGTATTATAATATAAATTAATATAGATTTCTGGTAGATATCATATCTAATTATGTCATTATTATACATATATTATTTTGTTAATATAATATAAATTATGTTATAAATTGGAATTCTAATAAAGAGCCAAAAGACACAGTTATCAAAGTCACATCATCTCAAAGTAGAATTACACTGACATGTCTATGTGAAATGAGAAAAAATTATCAATAGTTAAAGCTTGAATGATTTCTCTGCTTGAAAAAGATAACTCCCTTACTTTGAAGAACAAGGTTCTGTCAATTTCTTTCCACTGTGGAATGTAAAATAATCTGTTGTACTTGCCCCAAGGCAGCTTAAACGGTATTTATTAAGTTTATATCATTTTCTTAACTTTTCTACCATTCTTCAGAAATCCAAGATCATTAGTTCTTTCCTAACAAATTTGCAGACAATTTCCTCTGGAAACAAACAAATTCTTCATCTTATTGATATTTAAAGATTTATTTATTGATATTTAAAGATGTCTACCTGCCGGGCCAATACTGAGCCTTTGTTTTGAGCTGACTTGACTGCAATGACTTCTTGAGGAGTGTCCCAGCTCAGGTATCTTGTAAAAAGATGAAGAGAAGATTATTCATTTCGGTAAGTTTCCTTATAATCAAAATATAACAGATATTTCATAAATAAACAGTTCTTTATTTAAATTATAAAAGCAAAGTAATTTATTTTAAAAAAGAAATAACTTAAAAATTCCCTCTACATCTTTATATGGATATATTCCTATTAAAAATATATATATATATATTGAATTTTAATCCTTCTGGAGTGTCAATAAATAAAAACTGTTTGATCAAACATATTCAAAACTTAGAAAAAAGACCATTCCTACTTTAAAAAGGACATTAACATTACAAAAAGCATTAAAAATGTTACCTTCACATTCTACATGCATCTATTTACTCCAAATATGTCTACATAAAATATATAAAACTACTAAGTTAAAATAACAGCTTTTAGGAACACCCAGATGGCTCAGTCAGAATGTGACTCTTGATCTTGGTTGAGCCCCCACACTGGGTGTAGAGATCACTTTAAAAACAAAACAAAACAAAACAAAACAGTTCTTAGACTGTACTAGGCAGGTGATTTAACTGAAACAGACTAGCCTTCAGTAAAATCTATCATGAAATGCAACCTACATATAAAATACTATTCGCAGAACATATAAAACACTATTTGTAGAAGGGAAATTTGAAAAGGGTGGGGGACAGATATCTGCCAAGGTTAGTTACTTATGAGTGATACAAAAATAAATGATAAAAGGTCTGTATCCTCAGATCTTCAAATGTAGTCATAAGGAAAGAAAAAGAGAAAAGGTTTATAAATTGAGATCCAGATATACAATGGGAAACTTAAAAAAACAACCCAAAACTTGTAATTTCCTGGGCCACAATCACAAATTTGTATATATATTTGTATTTTCTATATTTTAATAAAATTTTGAGTAATAAAGTCACAGTTAATACCTGAATTTGCAATATGAAGCAAGATATATTTTCTCAAGGACTTTTCCAGTAGTTGCTGATATGCGAAACAGCCAATTATGAGCAGTCAGTGCTATGAGTGAAGATTTATAATCTGATGGATTGGGAAGTATTTCCCCCTAAAAAATACAAGATGTAAAAATGAAACTGGTTGGTCATGAACAAATCTACAGAAATCTATGTCCAAAGAAAACAGCTAAAACCTTAAAGAAATAGATAAGTAAACCAAAGACGAAATATTAAATGTACAAATAGAGAATTAAGACAAGGAAAGATGAAACTGTAGGTAATTATTTTTATCAACTTATTAAGTGAGTTTATTCACATAAAGTTCTTAAACAGTACCTCAAATAATTTATTACTTATTATTTATCATTAAATAATTCAATAAATGTGAGCCAATCATCATCACAACACAGGAGTGTTACTAATGATGCTGCTGTGATAACAATGATAATAACAGTTCTTAAAACCATGTATAATAGCATCAGCGTAAGTCACCTGCCAGAAAAGATGTTTCTTGGGGAACCTGGGTGGCACAGTCAGTTAAGCATCCAACTCTTGATTTCACCTCAGGTCATGATCTCGGGTGGTGAAATCAAGTCCCACATGGCTCTCTATACTGGGCATGGAGCCTACTCAAGATTCTCCCTCTCCCTCTGCTCCTCCCCCTCCACAAGGAATAAATGTTTCTTTATTCCAAGACCTGTTTTCCTTTTGATAGAAGTCAAAATGGCCAAAGGACAAATTGTTCCGTGATTTACTGTGGCTCTACTGTAACTCCAAATGAAAGCTAAAATGCAGAAACAAAGCAGCCAAAGAAAAACAGAAGATAGGCCAGGTTTCAAAGAATGAAGGGGGGGGAAATTGGAGGAGGAGATGAACCATGAGAGACTATGGACTCTGAGAAACAAACTGAGGGTTCTAGA